AACTTCCATACCAAAGCTCCTCTCTCTGCCCACCAAAGTCGTGGGTCTAAAGTTCTCTGTTTTCTTTGTTTTGAGTGTGCTGTGCCACTGAGGAAAGAGGCAGTCTAATATTTTGATGTTGGTAGAGTTCATAAAGTTAGTACAAGGGGGAAATATTTCATGTAAATCAACATTTACATGATTGAAATTTAAACTGGTGCTACAGGGACTCCTTCCCCAGAAAGCAAGCTAATGTGTGGCTAAAATAGCTCCTCTGTTCAAGCAGTGTGTACACTTCAGTACAACTGGCATGGGGGGCATCTTTGTGGTAGACTCAGTTCCTATTGTCATCCCAGTCCACAGTTGCAGAATCAGTCACCCTTTAAAGCACTAGTCTGGTGGTTTGGACTCATATTCTACAGGAATTTTCCACATTCAAACACACCTTTCATGTTTCTCCTTCTCAAGTTTGTCTAGCAAGAAATGTCTCTTCTATGTGCTTTTCAATGTAGTATTCACGGATAATCTTTGTGTTTTCCTGTATCAATGTCTTTCAAATGGGACAAAAAAAAATTCATGCGTGGGGAGTACATGTACTGAGGAAGCCATGGGAAAGGACCATTCTGATCTCTTCAGAGCAACTTGCTCTGGGATACTGATTATAATCCTCAAACTGCTACTCTAGAGAACATGGAAGTCTCCCTTACCAGGTGTTGCTGCCAGCCAGTAACTGAAGAGGGGAGAGATACTTACTCCAGTCCATTCCTGCCCAGTGAATAATTTCTCACAGGCAACTTTCTTAGCATCTCCTCACTGTACTGGCAGAAGTTTTTAGACCTGAATTCTTCCAACTCAATCCCTCATCCCCATCTCCCTTTTGTCCTTCCTTGTATCATACCTTCCTTATGGTCTTCCTTGTCTACCAATAATTTTGCTCCTTTAGGCCTCACAGATAAATTTCCACCAATATAGCTCTAGAATGAGGTATCTGCTTCTGGGAAGAAATAAATGAATGTATGTACATACAGTCTGTGTGTATTCTTTTCTGTTACAGTGTCTGTTTCTATAATGTCAACTAGGTCATATACAATTGGCATAGAACAGAAAACTCCCAGTTAAATATGAAAATTGCATTAGTCTATATTTGATTTCTCCAGCTTGTTAATATTTTAAAGTCCTCTGGGATAAGAGTTCTCAGAACTAAAAGAGAAAGATTTCAGGAAGGAGAAAATATTATGTAAGTGCTTTCTGTTTGTACCAATAGTGGCTTTGAGAATCACTAAGCTTTCCAGAGTTTCTCGCTACAAATGCAAATCCAAAGAATCTGCAGAGACATTTTCCCTGTGTTTAGAAATGATTGATACTGAAGTACACAATTTTTATTTTCATAAAGCTAGTGTCAACTGAAACTAATTCTAAGAAAATTTATCTAGGACAAAGAGAAATGAAACTAAGAAAAAAATTAATCAATTATCGGTTTAGGTGCCAAATTGGTACCTAATTAATTTTTTATGAAAAAAATTTTCATAAAATCTATTATTTTTATGGATACTTACACAGTCACATAGGTCTTAGTGGCTAAGTTTGTCTGATTCTTTCTAAAAATATCATGATATTTCAGCATGTTATTTTATAGAACACAAAGTTTTCTCACATTGTTAGCGGAAACGCCAGTGTACATCTATGAACATATAGATTTGTTCATTCTTTTCAGACAGCCAGAGTCTGGTAAATTAAAAAATTTTTAAAATACAAATATTGCCCAAAATGAGCTTTAAATGCCTAGTTGGGAGCTCAATAACTGAGTTTTCATATGTGCTTTAACAATCTTCTCTTTCCATCAAGCAATAGATAATCCATACTCAACTCAGAACAAGCCAATATTAGAAGTGCAAAAAAGAAGGCAAGAGTGTGTTTGAAGATATCCCATTTGTTGCCCATGCTGACTAGTCACCATCTATGTGGCTCTTCCATGCTTAACCATCTTGAAGCACAGAGGATTCTAATTCACATAGCAGACAAAGTGAGTAATACCCAATGCCCCTCAGTATCATTTGGTAGATGGAAACACAAGTGAACACTATGGATTTGTTGTTTTCAGGAAATGATAGGGGGGAAAACAACAAAGAATTTTATCAAATACTCCTCACTACATTTTCACAGATGCAAAATGATTTTTATTCAAGCTACTTAAATGATGATCTTTTTCAAAGGAATTCTTATTTTGATTATGTAAAAGAAGCATCAAATCCTATATTATTTTACAGTGTGTAGAAAAAAGAAAAGCATGGATTCATGTGTTCTGAAATAAAGTAATTTCTAAGAGGTAAAATTGAAGTATAACATTATAGAAGTCCAGTCAGCAGTGAAAAATAGCTTTTCCCCTACTCCAATAAAGATAACAGAAGTTAGGGGCATATATTATTACATGATGGATTTGAGGAAAACACAAGGAACCTTTCCTGATAGGCGCAGTCTTGAAACATTATAATATTTAGAAGAATTTTAAAAAACAAAGTCAAATGTCACAGTCTTTAATTTGCCTAGGAAGATGAAGGAGAGAGTAGTCATAGCTAATAATAGTCCAATAAATGATGTCTTACTTGACATATATCTTTTTCAAGATCTATCCCACTCTTTCCATGAAATGTTAGCTGTAAATCTCTGGATTTTAATCTTCTGGTTTATGTTCAATCAGTTTGCAAGGTTCATCAAAAGCACATCAATCACTTTATGAAATAGGCTGATGGAATGGAGGGACCAGGCCACCGAGATGAAGTTCCAGGCTATGAGGACTGTACGTGCTCACCAGCATGCGACCTCCTTCCCTTGCCTCTCAATACAGTCCTTAGTTCACTGTGAACCACCAAGATAGACTTTCGTCCTGCTAACAAGTACTTATGTAAACAATTATCTCCTTTGTTATTTTAATATTATTTAGAAATGAAGTACTCCCTGACATAATATCTGATATCAACATCATTTCTTATTTTTCTTTTCATTGTCAGGAAAAATCATTTCTATTTAGCCACAAGAAAGAAGAGAAAACATAAATATGAGATTAAAACATCATTAATTATACCATAGGTTTTACACATAGCTGTAATTTAAAAAAGAAAGCTTCAACATTGTGTTGTTCCTCTTTCTAAATCTCTCTGCCAGGTGGCATAGTCATAGACTATTACTGTACTGAACTTCAGAAGGTATTTGTAAGATAGACAGCTCCTATTATAAGTAGGCAGCTTCTACCCTACTTCAATATTAGTTTAACAACTGCAAGGATCTGGCTACTTAAATATTAAACACATTCAATTATTAATGAGTTATTATCCTTTTTTCTGATGATTAAACCTGTATGGAAAGAACTTTGGTACCAATGTACAGTCAGCATTACTAGCTCAAAAGTCTTTCAATGTCACATATGTCAAATTTTTTCTTTACTGTCTTGGACATCAAGGAAATGCTTAGCAACACCAAATTCTGCTGGAAATGCAATTAAAAAGTACTTCTCAAAGTTTCTAATGGGCACATGGATCATTTCCAAGAAGGATGTTGAGATTATTGCTCAAGGCAAAAGACTACAGATTATCATTTCCTCATTGATCTAACAGGAAAAAAATGCCACCTAATGAACTTTAGGAAAGGATTCATTAAAGGAATAAGAGACAGCTTGTACTCCTCCTTCCCTGCATTGAATATAAGTGTATCAGACAATAAGATGTGTCATTAAAATGTGACAATAAGGAAAATAAAATATTATAAGCAACTGAATTTCTTGATAGGTAGCAGCCTTGTGTAAATATCAACTAAGAATTTAGTAATAAATTTCAATACTTTATCATCTTTGACATGTTGCTGTGAAATTCGAAAGTTCAAAGAAATTAATGATTCATAAAATTAATGTAGTAATATGGACTATCTCAGTCGAGTTACCCGAATTGAATAATTCTAGAGGTCCTCTGTGCTCCTGAACAAGTGATTTTGATTACCACACTTTGTTTTTTGCTTCACTGTATTCTTAAAAAAAATGGGAATGAGAAATTTTATAGAATTAGAATTTCAGATAAAACATCTTCATTTTTCTGTTTAGTATCCAACATTTCCTACATACAGGAGCAATCAGCTTGTAAAATTGCTACAGATAAACTTTCTTAAAATTGAGCATACAAAAGTAAGCCCTGAAAACATTAGATCATGTGCTTTGTGGTAGATACTGTGTGGGATGGTTACATGCCAAAAGATGCCAACAAGAGCAATGGCTCGCACATGCAGCAGACTGGAAGGTGGTGCAGACACTGACTCCGATCCCCTATTGCCATCCCTAGGTTATTTGACTGAAGAAAAACATCCCTGTCATCTAAAAATGAGCTGCCAAAATAAATGATCTCCATTGTTCTTCCTTATCCTATAGTTTTATAACAATAAATTAACAAAGGGAAATGCCGCTGAGATAATGCATAATGCTGGAAAATAAAAGATCGTTTACCTTTAGATGTAATACTTTTCTTGCAGGAAACTACTGGCCTATTTACATTTGGCTTGCATTAATCTTAAACTAGTTTCTATTCCTATGTCACATCAGATGACAGTGAAACCAGAGGATTCAGATCCATTCTTAGAAAGGTGAAGCAGTCTAGGAATACTCTAGAAAGAAGACAAAATGGCTGTTATAGATGAACATACTTGTCTCTGTGTTTCTTGGTGAGCAGGGCATACTCTATCCAGCAAATATTTACTAACTACCTATTTATGGTTCCCTGTTGTGTTTGAAACTCAGGCCCCCGAATGAATGAAAACGTGTAGTACTTGCCCTGAGAAAACTTATTTTAATTGACAAAATTTCAAATGACAAAACACCATGTCATTCCAACTATAAACTACAGTTAATTAGGCCATAGTTATATTAATAAGCTTAACAGTAAACTTAAATTTCTAAATGAAAGTATAAAATAAAGTATACAGACCTCGCCTGCACCCGCCTGAGCCTACTGATCTCCTTGCACCCGGACTGCAGCGAGCCGCGCCGCGTGCCGACGGAGCGGACATGAGCAGAGCGATGGTGGCCAGGCTGGGGCTGGGGCTGCTGCTCTTGGCACTGCTCCTACCCACGCAGATTTACTCAAACCGAACAGCTGTTGTGCAACCTTCAAGTAACACCTCTCAGAACACCTCTACTACCCCAAATCCAACTAATGCCACCACCAAGGCAGGCAGCGGTGCCCTGCAGTCCACAGCCAGTCTCCTTGTGGTCTCGACCTCTCTTCTACCTTTCTACTGTTAGAGACTCTGGCCAAGAAATGTCCCTACTTCCCCATCTTGTAAACCTAATCCAAATGGTGACCAGAAGTGCAGTGTGGCAAGGAAGAAATCTAATTCCACACCTTAATTTAGTGATGCAGAAAATGCTGAGAATTCCAAATTTGATTCATTTGAAGGATGTGTGAAGGGATTGACAGACGTTGAATGCCAGTATTAAATCTGCTGGAGGTTTTTTTTTTTACAAGATGAAGAGAGATAACAACATCCAAGATTACCCACGATTTCCTCAAATATGGCTTAAGAAATATGGACAATTAAAACTGTACCTTGAAAACAAGAATAGATTTTATTTAGAAATAAAAGATGGGATGTGGAATGGAGATTCAGTTTTCATTAGGTTCATTAAATCTATAAGGCCATAAAACATAATATAAAAAGCTTCCATGATGCTATTTATATGTACATTAGAAGGAACTACCAGGTGTTACTGTAGTTCCTCAATGTGTTGTTTCAACAGTACTAATTTAATGCCGATATACTCTAGATAAAGTTTCACATTGTTAAGCTATCACTGTTTTCTTGGAAACTGAACTCTTTCCCCCGTCCTCTGTGGCTTTGGCTGTGGCTTTGGATTTGACCTTACATTTGACTTTTTATGTGGTAATTGACATGTGCCAGGGCAATAGTAGACAGGAACCCACCCCCAAATCTAAGTATCTCAAGTAAATCTTATCTTTCCAAAGTGAAATGGTAGGCATTTCCCACCACCCACTCTCATTCAACACAAGTACCAGATTTATCTAGCTAAACTGATTCCAAACAGTAGAATTGTATTGACCTCAACTAATTTCAAAATGCTGCCTTTTTATTCAGTATATGTTGAATACTCCTCACAATTAAAAATACAGTGTGTTTTGAAGATAAAATTACAAATCTTGAAATTAAAAAGGTAAATATATGAAGGAGCCAAAACTAAATCAAACATTTGGGAAGCTAGGGCTAGAAGCTAACTTGCATAAATTTGCAAAAAAATTTATACTTTTTCTGTAAATACTTTTTTTAAAAAAAACTAGGGATCACAATAGCCACCTTTGGAACCCATTCTGTTATCAGTCAATATTTTTAGATAGTTAGAACTGTCTTAAGCCTTGATTTTTGCCATCTTTTACAACTGCCTTGATACACAGAAACCTTTAAAAAGGAAGAGACACACCGTAAACTCTTGTTTGCATGGTCACACACTGATGCTTACATGTTCCAGTATCTAATAGGACCACAATAGGCTTGATAATCCAAGTCATTGCTTTCCCATCTTTGGAAATCTACATGGGAACAACCAGACTGAAAGCTACTGAAGCTACTGTGTGTGTGAATGAACACCCCCTTTTTCTTCATATCTGAACGCTGCACATCTGTTTGGATTATATATTGTGTTTGTGTATTTATGCTTTGATTCATAGTAACTTCTCATGTTATGGAATTGATTTGCATTGGACACAAAATGTAAATAAAGAAATAAATGGCTGAAAGAGCAAAAAAGTAAATTAAAAAATATACAGGAGAGAATAGAGATAATTCTGTCAATATCCACAAGGAATACCCTGTGATAAGATGAAAAATTAAGCAATTAATTGAAAATCTAAGAAACCTGGAGAAATGGTTGGTAATATTCAGATATTAGAATCATAGTTCTCTTGTAGGGTATAGAATTAAAGTATCTCATTTAATTTAAATTTTTCATTTATGATAACTTCATGTTGAGAGTGTTGTGCATTTGTTTGAAGCAAGAAACAGTTCTGTGTGATATACTTTGTATAAGAAATAGGAAAATACATATTCAAATACAAATTAATAAGTTGCATATTTTATACAATATCCCACTTATTACTTTAGCTAATGCATGACAAATTCCTGGTTTACTCCTACATTAGTCAGACTAGGTTGATTTTTACTATTACAACCACACCCAGAGCCTAAATTGGTGGAGATCAGTTACTTTCTACAGAACCACTCACTCTGGGACCCAGACTGATGGAACAGCCTCAGTCAGGAACACTGCTACACATCATAGAGGCCAGAAAGAATAGTACCCACGTTCTGTTTCTGAACTATTCATTAGCTAAAATAAGTCACACGATCAAATCTGTATTCCAATAGGGTAAGGGTGATTCCTCTAAACAGAGTAGCAGCAAATACCTGCAAGTACATATTTTTTCAACTAAAAATTCATTCATGAAATAATACATGTACTTAAGAAAATTTACACAAGATTTTTAATGGTAAAAATAAACAATCAAAAATTAAGATAATATGGCCTACTTTCCCCTCTGAATCTGTTCTCAGATAAGTAACTTCAATTTTCTAATTACTCATTCTAATAAGTGTGTGATACGGTCAAAATATATAGTGAATATTTAGAGTTTTAAAAATGATTACATTGCCATTAATCCTCCTCAAAATATTCCCCTTTTCTTCAAATACAGTTACCTCATAATTCTTAACACTTTCAGAAACAGTTCTGGAAGTTCTTTTTGTGAATGTCTTTACAAATTGTGGTAAAAATATAGTCTGGAAAAACAGACTTGAGGCTACACTGCAGTTTGTGTTCATCTAACTTATTCACTGGATCTGGTGCCATGTGATTTCTGATTTTGTCCAAAGTCAAATGACCATAAAATATAAAGGTTTGAATCAAATCAGGACATGGAGAAAGTCGGGATAGCAGAATAAAATAAAGAGGACTTCCAGAAAAGCTTCAGAAAGTGGCAAGAATAATGGAACATACATGTTCAAATAAGAGACAGTGTTCTGAGGGTGACTGATGCTGATGTGCTTTTTAACGTAATTTGAAAAACTTAAACATTTTGATCACATCCCATACATGTACATCTGCATGTATGTTATATATATATGCCCACATTTCCACATAATATACTTCTCAATAATATACTTATTTTCTTACTTATTGATTTATTAATGTTTAACACTATGTACTGCCATTGTTTGTCATAGATCAATATTTACCATATTTTAATTCAAATTGCCCCACCTTCTTTTCCCAGTTTTCCCAATATAGTAGTATTACAATTGACTACAAAGTTGCCAGTATACTCTTTACAAGTAAAAGATTACCATTCAGTGTTAGGTAAACAAATGGCCAATATGTTTATTTTTTATTTCATACCTCTTTAATCTGTGGTTACTAATTGCCTTTTTCAATTGCTTACTGTACTGTGTATTTTTATTGTCTCACTAATTCTCCAACAAGTGTTACACAGCTATAAATAATTCTATCTAAATATTTAGGTAATCAAATACTCTTTTCATTCTTTCAATTTTCTTTCTGGAGGCTTTCTTCCTGGAAAAATAGTTAACAGCTGGCTCTAGTTTGAATAGTTTTCACACTGGGGCAATTCTTGAATTGTAACTTGGGAAAATCTCTTTGCAATTTCCTGAATTCTTATCCTTTCTTGTATTGATTTACTGTCCTCTTTTTCGGACATGTTTCCATTGTTTCTTGGGATGGGAAGGAGTGCATGAGATTTTCTTTACTTTGTTTGCATGTCTGCAAAATTTATATAATATACTCTAAAACTTAATTGATTCATGATTATATGATTCTAGGTTCAGAGACATTTATCTCTCAAAGTTTGAAGATGCTAATCTATTGTATTACGTCATCTAATGTTACTATTGGTCTGCGTGATGCTATTCTGATCTTGATTTGTATACATGACTTTTTTCTCCTTATGAAAATGTATTAGACTTTTGTGACTTCCATAACAAAATACTATAGCCAGGGTGACATAATTTGATTATGTCATAAATTGATTGACATAAATTGATTATAACAACATAAATCGATTTCTTGCAATTCTGGAGACTTGGGAGTCTAAAGTCAATGTTCTATCTGATTTTGGTTTCTGGTTAAGGCTGTTTTTGTGGCTTGCAGATAGCCACCTCCTTGCTGTTTCTTCACCTAAAGGAAAGCAACCAAACTCTCTGCTATCTGTTCTTAGGTGGAGACTAAACTTGTCTGATTGAGACACCACTGTCACAAATTCATTTAACTGTAAATACTTCCTTATTTCTAAGATCTTCACACTGATAGTTCAGTTTTCCACATAAGAACTTTGGGGAGCATAATTTGGTTAATGGCATAATGCATTAGAATCTTTTCTTTATCCCCAAAATTCTGATATTTATGTTATAGGCTCATCTTTGGCTAATAAAGTCTTTCCTTCCATTCTGGTATATTTCTACTTTAAATAAAACTTCTTTCATTTCTTCTGCTAAAATTTCTATTTTTTTAATGTTTTATTTCCTAATATTTTCATTTGAGTTTCTCATTCTTTCACTCTTTGTCTCTTCATTCTATTTTTGGGGGTAGTCCTTAATTACTATACTGTTATTGAACTTTTTCCCCTGAATTTTATTTTGAATGGCCAAGGGCTATCTCTCTCTCTCCACCCAACCCACTCTTCTCAACTGATATCTTTCCTTATTTATCTGAGGTTGTGTATTTTTTGACTTTCTGGAAAATTTTAATCTCTTGCTATGTTTGTGGAGTTTTGCCCTCTCTTTTCCTGTAGATTGTTTTGATCTCTAATCTTTCAACACCAGAGACTTCCATCAGCTACCTGGTGATCATTGTATGCCTGTGCATATTTAAGTTTTTAACTTATTTTTTACTAATTATTAGAAGTTGGTGTGCATGAAATTTATATTTCTGTAAACTTTACTGATTGTTACTGGACCATCATCTTGGCTCTCATTGAGAGTATGTAAAGGCTCTTTCTCTTAGGGATAAATTCTTCAAGATAACATTTTTCTAACCTTCAAACACCCTATTGCTTATGAGAAGAGGAGGGATGTGTGTGGTGGGTTTGCAATATTTAATCTGGTGTCCTAGCAGCAGGATCCCTAATGGTTTGCCATTGAAATTCCACTCTGTCTAATCATACATTTTTGACCCCATAATTCACCCTGGACATGCACTGCACATGGTGGCCTCATATCAGA